TTAATAGCACCATTTTGTAGGGGCGACTAGTGAAGTGGGAATGGCCGCCATTACTGCTTGCATAATACTGCCCTGCTAGTTAAGGGTTAGAGAGAGAGAGAGAGAGAGAGAGAGAGAGAGAGGAGAGAGAGGAGAGAGAGAGAGAAGAGAGAGAGAAGAGAGAGAGAGAGGAGAGAAGAGAGAGAGAGAGAGAGAGAGAGAGAGAGAGACAGACAGAAAGAGGTAGTGAGGAAAGGAGGGAGAGAAGTAGAGAGGAAGGAGTGCCCAGTCATTTAGTGTGCACACCCATACAACGCATACGTAACATTTACAAATTACCTGATAATTCTTCTCTCTCACATTCTCTCTCCTTCTCCCCTTCTCTCCCATCCTCTCTTCTTCTCCCCTCCCTCTCATTCTCTTTTTCTCTCCCTCCCTCCCATCCTCTCTGCTCCCCCTCTCTCTCCCTTCTCCAAAACTCAATATTCCTCCCCGTGTTATCAATGGTCAATAAAACGCTTGAAGGGACTTTTATTACAGTTAACGTCTTGTTCACCGTAGATAACATCTTCGTCACGTGTCGAATTTTCCTACGCTGCATCTTCTTATGGAACGAAGTGTTCATATTTGTATTATATATTATGAAAAATTCCTGGTAGGTAGTTTTTCTGCTATTTTCATATGATAAATGTTATAATGATTCCACGGGTGGTAATGCTGTGATGACCTGATGAATACCTCCTTACGAGGCTCATCAAGATCCCATTGAAGTTTTTTGATTACTTCTGATCTTGAAAACACAGTATCACTAAATTTTTTATATGCTATTAAAACCTGAGTTCACGTTGTGTTATCGTGGGGGTCAATATGCCATTTAGAACAAGCATAAACATTCCTAAGTCATTTATTCCTGGGAATACTTGAGAGGCGGCAGTTTTGGCTAGCTTATGGTTGGAAGGCAGTGGCAGGAGACGATATCTAAGTGGCAGTGTCAAAATTGCAGTGTTGCAGGTGGTGAATCAATGGTAGTGCGATGGAGTGGTGGGAGTGCTGATATGAAAACACTTCTAAGCAACCCTGATACCTTGAAAGCAATGGGACCAGATAATATCTCTCCTTGGGTTCTCAGAGAGGAAGCTGGAGTACTCTGTAAATCACTAGCTAAAATCTTTAACAAACCAACATTACTCCGGTATATTAGAAAAGCGATAGACATGTATGGTTAAACTAAAGACAGTTACTGGCATGCACGGCATGACAGGCTATGGAGAAGATAATGAAGAGAAAATTGGTGGAGTACCTGGTAAGGAGCAAAGTGGTGGAAGCAGGATCCATACGTAACTTTGAGAATAGGTACCTGGAGTCTACCTGGAGGTTATTCCGGGGATCAACGCCCCCGTGGCCCGGTTCACGACCAGGCCTCCCGGTGGATCAGGGTCTGATCAACCAGGCTGTTACTGCTGGCTGCACGCAGCCCAACGTACGAACCACAGCCCGGCTGATCCAGCACTGATTTTAGGCATTACTAATGGTATAGTAAGACTCATAAAGCCAGGAGAGATAGTTAACCCAATAGCGACCAATTTGAGAGGAGAGGTCCAGGAGGTGAGACCCGACCCCTGCAAGCACACCACACACACACACACACACACACACACACACACACACACACACACACACACACACACACACACATACACAGCTGTCATGATACAAGTCACTGACTGACTTCCAGCAAAGGTCTTTACAGTCTCTCCAGTCCTAACTCCTCAATAACCCTTACACTCACTAGTCCTCACCTCTCATCCTCACTCAAGCTTGCAGTCCCTTCATGCTGGGGTGGGGGGGAGGCGCACCTATCGACTGTCCAAGTGTTGTCCACACTCATATAAGAGAGAGAGAGAGAGAGAGAGAGAGAGAGAGAGAGAGAGAGAGAGGAGAGAGAGGAGAGGAGAGAGGAGAGAGGAGAGAGAGAGAGAGAGAGAGAGAGAGAGAGAGAGAGAGAGAGAGAGAGAGAGAGAGAGAGAGAGAGAGAGAGAGAGAGAGAGAGAGCATCATCTCAGAATATTGAAGCAGAAATCTTCCTTCCATCACTTGCAGACAGACATTAAGAAACACGCTGGTCATTATCTAATTGTGTTCACTCCACGTTGTTCATCACACGGTAGCTAATGTTCAACTACCACCCCTGCTAATTACCCTCTTGCTTGATTAATGGCAATTACAGGAAATTGATTTTATGACTAATGCCTCCTTGAGGGCGAGTGTGATTAGTAGTGGTGGTGGTAGTGGCGGTGGTTGTAAATACGGTGCTAGTGGTGGTGGTTGTAAATACGGTGCTAGTGGTGATGGTGGTTGTAAATACGGTGCTAGTGATGGTGGTAGTGGCGGTGATTGTAAATACGGTGCTAGTGGTGATGGTGGTAGTGGCGGTGATTGTAAATACGGTACTAGTGGTGATGGTGGTAGTGGCGGTGATTTGTAAATACGGTGCTAATGGTGATGGTGGTAGTGGCGGTGATTGTAAATACGGTACTAGTGGTGATGGTGGTAGTGGCGGTGATTTGTAAATACGGTGCTTCTGATGGTGGTAGTGGCGGTGATTGTAAATACGGTGCTAGTGGTGATGGTGGTAGTGGCGGTGATTGTAAATACAGTGCTTTTGATGGTGGTAGTGGCGGTGATTGTAAATACGGTGCTAGTGGTGATGGTTGTAGTGGCGGTGGTTGCAAATGAGGTAGTAGTGGATTCCTTGGATCAAGAGCCCTTCACCAGCATCAAGGCGCCTATTCCCCCATAAACGGGCATAAGGAAAGAGTCGATGCAAACACACATAGCCAGGAGCTATGACTCCACATACAGGTGAGCACACACACACACACACACACACACACACACCTCAGTTATCCGCGGTAATTAAACTGACCTCACCAAATTTATAATAACTAATTAACTTTTTTTATACTTGTCTCCCTCTCAATAGTATAATAGAAAACGTTAATTGCTGTTCCGTATTTCTTCGTCCAGTTATTAACAATTCCTTTTGTTCTTGAATTTAAGCGTTCACCTTAACAAACATTAATAACAGATCTTTATTACCGCGTTAGTAAAGCTTTTAATATTGATGAGGCGGTAGGAAAGACTTCTTTTATTAAGCCAAAATCCACACTCACATCGTCATACTGTATATATTCTTAGTATTTCTCTCACTAGAGAAGCAGTGTATATACAAAGAGGGATATGTATCTCAGTATACACACACTTGGAGCCTTCTTTAACACCTATATTAGGTATTAAAGTATTCTTGGCTAGTAAAGGTGAATTCTTCCTAGGACAGGTGTCAAGGATATTTCTCGTAACCCAGTTGATGTCAGTCATTCCAAGGAGCCCCGTCTGTCATACCTTAGCAGGGATGACTGTGACCCTGGGTATGCTCGTAGCATCCTGGTACCCATGCCCACCACACACAGCTATAATACAATGTAAAATATCTCTTAAGTGATCAAACAACCCTGACAGAGAGAGAGAGAGAGAGAGAGAGAGAGCATGGGTTTTAACAAGATCTCATTATCTGTGTGGTAAGCAGTGTATCGTCAGCAGGGTAGTCAGACTAACTAGTCATGGTATTCACCCTCGGGCACGGTGAATAACTAGTCTTTATTGGTAATGTGAATAATGACCACAGTGAATAACGAGTCTTCGCTGACATGAATCATCACTGGTACGATGCAAAGTGGCGTAAAGAAAAGGTGATAAAGAGATGTAAGATAAAGAGGGGGATGTGAAGAAATGTGGAGTAAAGGAGATGAATGTGGGATGTCTTTTATTTTTTAATAATAAATATGAATACACTAGCAGTGTGCTGCTTCCCTGTTCTATAAGAGAGTTACACGCGGAACAAAAGCTATGTTTTCCTGTCATATTCCATCACTCAGGATGATACTAATACAAGGTGTTGAAATGTGTCAACCTGAGCTGGGAAGACTTCAACAGGGCAATGATAATATCGTCAAGTATTCCAGCAAAGAGTTCATCAGCTACGGCAACAGAGCTGGAGTTACTATCACTTAGGGACTATCATCTCTCAGGACGGCCTGTCCCATCAGAGGAGGACGCAAAGCTTTCGTAGGAAGGCTGGAGTTGTGAGGATGACATACCAGAGTGTAGAGGCGGGAATGCTGAGAGTGGTTACATGAGCCTACTGGCCAGAGGAGGGGGTGAATGAGGGAGAGGGGTGAAGGAGGGGGACGAGGAGTGAAGAAGGGGGAGGAGTGAAGGAATGGTAGGAGGGGTGAAAGAGTAGGAGAAAATGTGTGACAGTGTAGGGGAGAGAGAGAGAAAGACAGAAATAAACACTGCGTAACAGACATAAACAACTATCTTAAAGATATAAAAAATCTGCGCTTTTATACGGACCGTAAAAAAATAAAAGACAATCTGTGGTTAGTGCGTAAGTTCGACGACCCGTGCTGGTGTGACACAAACATCGTCCTTATTTGTCATGGCTGGATGAGAAGTGTGGGCGTGGGTGGGCGGGTGTGAGTGAGTGGATGGATGGATAGATGAATGAGTGGGTGGGTGGGTGGATGGGTAAGTGGGTGGATGTTGAGTGGGTAGATGGGTGAGTGTGTTGATGGATGGGGAGTCAAGCGTTGGTGGAAGGGGTTGTGGATGAGGGATGGGGGTTTTGGGTTGAACTTGGGAGTTGTCTAAGCTTAACAGTTGACAATATTTGTCATTGAGAGTTTGTAGGATTGTATGACTGTTCGGGGTTAACAGTATATGAAATTGGAGATTTATTGTCTTGTAAGATTGTAGGGGTTTAAAGACCTTGAATTGTGGGTTTATAGGATTGTAGAGATTTGAAAGAGTTTAAGGTTATAGATTTTTTAAAGTGTTTGACACTGTGGAAGTGTGAGGTTATACAGGGGATTTGTAAAGGTTTGAAAACGCTTGGATTGTGGGTTTATGGGACTGCAGGGGTTTGAGAGGGCTTGGGATGGAGATTCTTAGGGACTCACCTCCGTCAGTAGCCAAGGCAGCATCCTGGGGACCGTTGTGTCTGAAGAGAGGACCGATCATCCCTTCTCCAGGAGAAATGAAAACATTGTATTAATAACAACGTCTACATGCACACCTTTACACACACACACACACACGCACGTTATATTAAAAAGAATTAATGTTAAATTTATATAAAAGTATGATATATTAATAGACTAAGTTTTTTCTTACAACCATTTAATTGGAGATGCATCCACGAACACAGTCAGGTAATTAAACTGATTAATCAGCTACTCCATCAACATGTCACCCAATCATTAATTCAACCAAGTGACCAATTAATACATCAATTACCCCCACCCCATTAAATTACAAATCAATAAGTTTATCAGCCAATTTGTCAATTATCCAGTTAATCAATTAGTCAATTACCCAGTCAGTCAATTAGTCACGTAGCCACTGAATAATAACTGATCTTACCTCCTTTCGACGAGTGGAAGAGCTCTGAGAGGTCTGTCTGCTGCTGTTGGAACACATCACCAGAGTAAGGAGCTGCGGACACAAACAATACATCTCAGTTAGATATTTACCAGTGTGTAACTAATGTAATCTGTCATAAACTACAGCCAACCCTCC